TTTTTTTTGCATTGACTGATGAATCTTTAATTGGTAATTCCGATCAGTAAATAGATTATTTCCAGCAGTTTTGTTTCTTGTTCATTCGCCTCACTTGTCTGGTATGGAGCAGATTTTAGATGATGTGCTGCTGTTTCAAAATTCCAGGTGAAAGAGAAATTTGTTTGGTTTTCTTTGCAGCTCCAGGGATGCTGCTGTTTTAATATTATTATTTGTGTACAAGATTAAGAAAAAATAAAACTTTTTAAAGGTATTGCTCAGAAAACAAAATGGCATAACATCATAGATGAGCAAAAAAGTACAATACATTATGGGAAATAAATAAAAGTAAGCTAAAATAACACTAGAATAGTAAAGGTAATGGTGAAAATCTTTGAAGTGATGAGCCAGAACTCTCAGCTCATATATCTTCACATCCTAACAGTGAAATTTTAAAGTATAAATATTAAGGCTGGACCTGAATTTTGGAATATGTTTCTTGGAGGCAGGGTTGCAATGTCATCATACTGTATGTGTCAGTGAATAAACCATTGGAAAATGTATTATTGGCAAGTTCCCTGAATTGACCACTTTTTGTAAAATAACACATTTGTCATGAAAAATCTAAATGTCATGTCAAGAGTGAACTGTAATTTACTTCAAATATTCGGTACAAGTCTTCATGAGTGAATTTGGTTCATAGATACCACTAGATATGTATTCAGCTGGGTTTTATGTGGAATTGATCTGTCTGAAGTCCTCTAATCTACAGTTTTATTTGTACTGCATGTATCCTTTCTTTCGTGTTGTCAAATGTTGTATGTTGAAATTTTTGACCAGGTTATGACAGATCCAGACTGTCCTAAGAGTCAGTAGTAGAGTGTAAAGAACTAATTCCTCTTGTCGTGTTTCTCAGTTTGATTACTACAACTCCATGCTCATCAACACCATGGACGAAGACGGAAACTTCGTGGAACTCGGCGGAGAGTTTCCCCTCGAGGAGAACGAACATTTCAACAAACTGCTCGTCAACACTCAGCAAAGCAACATCCAGATTCCCACCAACGTTTACAACAAAGGTCAGAGGAGCTTTACACCTGAAGGTCTCTGCTGCCCCTGTTCCCCATGTTCCCCAAAGAATCAGAATCAGAATCAACTTTACTGGTTGAGTTTGTAGACACAAACAAGGAAGTTGACTCCGGTGAGCCTTAGCTCTCTGTATGACAAATCAAGAAATTAACTAGAACAATAAAATAGGAGTAAGAACAATAAAATAAGAGTAGGCAATAAATAGTAGTATTTGTAAGTATTTACAATATGTCATAATGTGTGCAAAGCAGGGCTACAGAGGTAGATGTGGTAACATTTAAAACAGTGCAGATATGTGTGGGTGTGGGCTGTTGCACCGTGGTTCCTTAGTCTCTGAGACTCTGGAGAAGTTTATCAGAGTAACAGCCTGGGGGTAACAAACATGTCCCTGTGTCTGATGGTTTCGGTGTACAGTGTTCTGTAGCGCCTTCCGGACGGGAGGAGTTGAAAGGGTTTGTGAGCAGGGTGTGAGGGGTCTGCAGAGATGTTACCTACCCGCTTCCTGACCCTGGACAGGTATAAGTCCTTTATGGAGGGCAGGTCGGCCCTAATTATCCCTTCTGCAGACCTGATTATCCTTTGCAGTCTGTGTTCCTCCTGTTTGGTGGCCGACCCAAACCAGACAGTGATGGAAATGCAGAGGACAGACTGAATGATGGCGGTGTAAAAGGTGATCAGCAGCTCTTGTGGCAGGTTAAACTTCCTGTGTTGTCACAGGAAGTACAACCTCTGCTGGGCCTTTTTCCGGACAGAGTCTATGTGGGGAGTCCACTTCAGGTCCAGAAAGACTGGATCCCAGAAACCTGTCCAAAGTAGACACTGTGTTGTTGTTGATGGTGAGGGCGACGGACGTCAGGGAGTTTGTCCCAAAGTCCATTGTCATCTCCGTAGTCTTGAGTNACAACCTCTGCTGGGCCTTTTTCCGGACAGAGTCTATGTGGGGAGTCCACTTCAGGTCCAGAAAGACTGGATCCCAGAAACCTGTCCAAAGTAGACACTGTGTTGTTGATGATGGTGAGGGCGACGGACGTCAGGGAGTTTGTCCCAAAGTCCATTGTCATCTCCTCAGTCTTAAGTGGATTCAGCTCCACGTGGTTCTGACTACACCAGTGGACCAGCTGTTCCACTTCCTGTACAGACAGGAAGTGGAACAGCTGGACTGCAGACTCATCACAGATTACAGTGCTGTTGTCCGCATACTTTTCACAGAAGGATCCCCTGAGGTGCAGTCGTTATTGTAGGGTGCCAGTGCTAAAATCTAAAATGTTTCTACCCTTTGTGCAGATCCTAACATCCTCAATGCCATCTACAACTCAGAGGCATTGAATGATGTCTTCATCAATAACTTCCAGAAGGATCCGACACTCACCTGGCAGTACTTTGGCAGTTCCACTGGCTTCTTCAGGATCTACCCTGGTGAGTTCAGCATTTTTGTTCTGGAAGTTAGACGAGATGGACTTTCCTTGTATTTGTTTGTCCCACTCAAGTTAAATTACACATTTTTGTTCTACTACAGCATTATTTCCTAAGTTAATCATATGTCTTGTTTTTTTGTTTTTTTCTCGAGGAAATATTTACATACCAATAGTGGGAAAAAACATGTTTTGCATCTTTTGCTTGCATGATGCTTTTGCATTAACTAGCTTATTCTTCTCCGTGTGTGTGTGGATGGAGCCAGTACAATTGTAATTATAAATCCTGCTGTTGAACTCGCCAGTTAGGTGGATTTATCCATGCATGTTTTGTGTGTTATTTTAACATCAGCTATGTGTGTGAGTAGTGTGCTGTGACTTGACTCCATGTGTTCTCTGTCAGGTATTAAATGGACTCCAGACTCCAACGGCGTGGCAGCCTTTGACTGCAGGAACAGAAACTGGTGAGTTTGTGAACAATGTCTGAGGGTGCTTCTCAGTGCCTTCTAACACTCCTCACAGGACAGTTAAAAATATAACCTATATGAAAGTTTTCTGATTTGGGAGCTTTATCATGGATATTGTTCGGTAAAACTGGGTGGGGATGGTTATTAGAAACTAATACCGAAGAGTTGGTTCTAAGAACAGAAATAAACTCTTTAATTGGCTCAGGGTTTCCAGCCTTCTCTCCAAGAGGTTTTGTAGTGATAAAGTCACAATACTCTATAATTTGCTTTCATTATTAACACAACCACAACAGGGCCCTTGTATGAACAGGTAGTTTAAACACACATGGACATAATTTCTTTGGTTACTTTCTTTTTTTTTATCTGGAACTAAGCAGGATTAGATTTTGTTTGTTTGATCACCCACTGACACTCACTAAATTTGCACTGTTTACTGTTTTGAACTATACTAAATACTTCAGTGTTCTGCAGTAAACACTGTGACAAATGGATTCTTAAGTTTAGCCTATTAAAAAAAAAGGGTTAACACGCCAGCCACAGAGAAAAAGAAACACAAACCCTGCATTCTCTTTTGTCTTTCTCTGCCTCAAAGATAAACTAGACAAGAATGCTGCATGCTTTTCTGTGTGGGTGTAAGAAAAGTCTGTGCAATGATGAACATTTGTTGAGTCATCACCTCTGACCCCAAACCTAACCTCCATTAAACTGATATTTATATGCTAGACTACTGTATTGTAAGGTGGTATTGTTATTGTGCCCACTTGCTGTATATTTTCTTTCATAATAACAGAAATTAGGAGGAAAATCCTTTTGTAACACTGAATTTCAGTCAGTCTAAGGCGGAATACCTCTGGCTTTGTGTCAGCTGAGCAGCGGCCAGCTGTAGTCCTGATCCTGTGCAAAAGACGATAAGCTGCTCCTTAGCCGGGTTACTGCAGCCCACATGGCACCATATGTGACTGTTCATGCATTTCTAAATAATATCAGGGAACCGCATATGTCCCCGAACACCTCGTCATACTGCATTACTGCTGCTGAGCTGCCAAACCTGATGCATTTATCTGCAAATGGAAATTAATAGGGACACATTTATGGGCTGATGGGAAAGTTCCATATTCAAAAGATACGAGGTGTGTCAGAAAAGTTCCAGGACTGGTGTCACAAAAGATATTCAAACTACAAATCAGGAGTTTTCCCCTTCAGAAGATCAACCAGCACGCCTACATAGAGATCCTTTTGCTTTGTTCGGTGCGCCAGAAGAGGCGAGAGTTGTGGCAGGACCAGTCGTGGCTGCTTCACCATGACAACGTGCCTGCTCACAACGCCCTGAGCATCCGACAGTTCCTGGCTGAGAACAACATCGCAGTGCTGGAGCAACCTCTCTACTCACCCCACCTGGCTCCGTGGGATTTTTTTTCCTCTTCCCCAAGCTCAAGGGGTCATCAAGGGGACCCGTTTTGAGGACGTGGACGACATCAAGATGGCTGTGACGATGGAGCTGTGGAGAATCCCAGAAGAATCCTTCCAGGAGTGCATGGTGGTGTGGCAGAGAAGACTGGGGAAGTGCGTTAAGACTCCAGGAGGATTACTTTGAAGGGGAAAAGTTGTAGTTTGTAGTTTGTATTTGACATATATTTTTCGTGACACCAGTCCTTGAACTTTTCTGACACACCTCGTATACTGACTTCAGTTGTGTTTGTGTCTGTGCTTGTAAACCTTTTATTTTCGTAGCAGTTTTCATCTCATAAAGCCTTTTTACTAGTCTATTATGGAGTGTGGAAATCATTACTGACTGGCTTTGGTAAAACATTTAAAGGTTTCCAAGAATAACATTTAATATTTTTGTTTGATTATGTGGGATTAAAATTACAAATATCAAAAGCATCTAGTTACAATTACACTGTGCCTACCTAGATTTTTATTCCTCACTATAAGGTCATACAGACTAGACAAAGTCTAAATCAAATTAAAGCAGCAGAAATTCCAAATGTGCTTACAAGTCTAAACTGTAAAACATCTTAAAAGTGTTCGCAGAAGTAATTGCAGCTGCAGTGGTGAATAAGATCATAGGAAAATGCTATGAAATATAAAAAANCGATAAGCTGCTCCTTAGCCGGGTTACTGCAGCCCACATGGCACCATATGTGACTGTTCATGCATTTCTAAATAATATCAGGGAACCGCATATGTCCCCGAACACCTCGTCATAATGCATTACTGCTGCTGAGCTGCCAAACCTGATGCATTTATCTGCAAATGGAAATTAATAGGGACACATTTATAGGCTGATGGGAAAGTTCTATATTCAAAAGATACAACATGTGTCAGAAAAGTTCCAGGACTGGTGTCACAAAAGATATATTTCAAACTCAAACTACAAATTAGGAGTTTTTCCCTTCAGAAGATCAACCAGCACGCCTACATAGATATCCTTTTTGCTTTGTTCGGTGCGCCAGAAGAGGCGAGAGTTGTGGCAAGACAAGTCGTGGCTGCTTCACCATGACAACCGCCTGCACACAATGTCCTGAGCATCCGACAGTTTCTGGCTGAGAAGAACATCGCAGTGCTGGAGCAACCTCCCTACTCACCCCACCTGGCTCCGTGGGATTTTTTTCCTCTTCCTCAAGCTCAAGGGGGTCATCAAGGGGACTCGTTTTGAGGACGTGGATGACATCAAGATGGCTGTGACGATGGAGCTCCCAGAAGAATCCTTCCAGAAGTGCATGGCGGCGTGGCAGAGAAGGCTGGGAAAGTGTCTTAGACTCCAGGAGGATTTACTTTTAAGGGGAAAACTTGAAGTTAGTAATTTGGATTTGAAATATATTTTTCGTGACACCAGTCCTTGAACTTTTCTGACACACTTCGTATATTGACTTCAGTTGTGTTTGTGTCTGTGCTTGTAAACCTTGTGTTTTTGTAGCAGATTTCATCTCACAAAGCCTTTTTGCTAGTCTATTATGGACTGTGGAAATCAAACATTTAAAGGTTTCCAAGAATAACATTTAATATTTTTGTTTGATTATGTGGGATTAAAATTACAAATATCAAAAGCATCTAGTTACAATTACACTGTGCCTACCTAGATTTTTATTCCTCACTATAAGGTCATACAGACTAGACAAAGTCTAAATCAAATTAAAGTAGCAGAAATGCCAAATGTGATGACAAGTCTAAACTGTAAAACATCTTAAAAGTGTTCGCAGAAGTAATTGCAGCTGCAGTGGTGAATAAGATCATAGGAAAATGCTATGAAATATAAAAAATTTAACAGCAAGGAGTTTTGTTCAGTAGAGATTTGTAGCTGAAACTTAGTAGAACTTTGGCCTGTCTCCTTTGGCATGGCGGTAAAATGACTGTCACATGCAGTTACCTTTGCTCTACCATAATATGATTGAAATGCAGACCGCGTCCGCCTCTGCCTCCCTCTTTCCACAGCTTCTGATGCCATTACAGGTATCTTGAACATCATTTCTGCAGTGTCAAAACTCCAAGTTTAACTACGCAGAATTTCAATCCAAGTCCTTGCCATGCAAGTGCAAGTAATTGTCATGATTTTTTTTTTTTTTTTTTGGTCACACACTGTGGCGCTGATGTTAGTCTAGAGGTGGCCTCAGTCTCCTCCATTCACTGTGTTCAGGTACATCCAGGCAGCCACATCTCCGAAGGACATCATCATCATGGTGGACATCAGCGGCAGCATGAAAGGACTTAAGATGACTATCGCCAAACACACCATCAACACCATCCTGGACACACTGGGAGAGAATGACTTTGTGAACGTCATTGCTGTGAGTCACACATACATCACATACAGACTATGTCATCAGCATTAACAGCATTATGTTACTTGTTTTACACAAACAATGACTGCTTTGGACAATTGCAAGACCAGAAAATAAACTTAGTATACAAGTGTTTAAGGTAGCTATGTTTAGCTGGGCTTTTTTGCCACACCATCTTGGTGCGTTCATGTTTGGTAATCAGCTCAGAATGATGCTTGAGGTTCTGAAAGCCTGTTATTCACCAGACAGCACACACCAAAAAGCGCAAAGAATCAGAAGAATTAGAATACAACTTTATTGATCCTTTTGGTACAAGACCTCAGGGAAATTGCTACAAAAAAAAGAAAAGCCTCCTCTTCAGCAAGCTAGACTGACTTTTACTGAGACATTTAAAATATATGTCTGGTAATTTTCAGTGTTTTCTTATCGTCAACATATCCCATGAAGAGACCGCACAGTGAAATGAACCTACGATAAAAGCAGGCTGTGTGTCTGAACCCTGATTTGAATTCTCGTCTAACACATAGAGCTCCTTTGTTGTCCAAAAACTTTTAAATGTACAATACTGAGCCATGCCACTGCACTAACGTACATCTTTTTTTATCACAAAAACATGGGTATAGTGGTTGATTTAGAGACAGTAGTGATCACTTGGGTGACTGTGGCTCAGGTGGTAGAGTGGTTGTCCTCTGATCATAAGGTTGGCGGTTCAATCCCCCGCCCCTCCACAGTTGAAGTCTCCTTGGGCAAGACGCTGAACCTGAAGTTGCTCCTGGCAGCTCTGTCGTATAAATGTGTGTGTGAATGAGAAAACATTGCAAACACTTTGAGTGCCACTAAGGTAGAAAAGCACTATATAAGTGCAGTCCATTTACTTTCACTGTGCCTGAATTTCATAAATTCAAAAAGGACAAAGAATCCACCTCTCACCTGCCCTGAGTCACCTGTTGTAATTTGTAGCAGATGCCTCACAGGAACTGCTTTTCAGTGAGATGTTCTCTGTATTAGTGCCGGGACAGCACGCACTAATATCTGTGGTTGAGACAGATTAGCTACATTATTCTAAACAGACTGCCGATATTTGCTAGTAGGATAAATTTACAGTAGTTTATGTCTTTGCGTGGGATTTGAAGATCTCCTGCCTTTAAAAGAAAATGTCATGCTGAAGATAATGCATATTGTTAGTTGTGACTATAATTTCTCACTTTAAATTCGATACTTATTTCTACTAACTACAAGCAAGTGGTCTCACTTTGCCAGCCTATTCTGTAGAACATAAAGGTCTGGTCTGCACTACAGCATCATTCTGCTTTTAGGGAAAAATGGCCCTGTCTTGTTTGTATTTCTTTAAACCAATCACAGTCCTCGTCGTTGGGGCTAAGCAGAGGATGCAGTTCTGGTGTTTCCTCAACATAGTGGCTGGTGTAATTGTGTTGGTGAAACGTTTGCATGCAGGGAGATCAGCATTGTGATTAAAATGAATCATTAACCAAAATAAACTAGCTGTATTTTACAAATCCTGGGCAAAACTTGAAACTTTTGATGTGGTAGGTTGCAGCTCAGAGATTGTTGTTGTTGTTTCCTGGAGCAAAGAAAATGTGCAGATAGTGAATGGGAAGGACAAGGCTGCCTGAAATGAGCAGCCAGTAAGTGACAGCTAGAAGTCTGCCTCACCTGGCATCAAACTTGTACCCCACAGCTGCATTACCAAAGACTTTGGGCATGTCCACACTCTGGGCACTTCATATTGTGAATGCTGGACTCACATAGCAGCCCCTTGAGCCAAGAGCAAGATTACTACAGAATAAAGCACAGTAGCAAATGACAGCATTGGAAAGTACTGCAAGTGGCCTGTCACTGTCAGATATTCACATCGTCTGGGAGAGTCTATTCCTGCTGGTAGCTGCTACTAACTGACCCTGGGAAGCTTTCTTCACTGGTCCAGCGGTTTGAACCATGACTTTTCTCTTGAACTGTACCTGCGTGTCTCTTCCTGTCTGCAGTACACTGACTACGTCCGCTATGTGGAGCCATGCTTCAAAGGCACTCTGGTCCAGGCCGACTTGGACAACAGAGAGGTAAGACCATTATCTGCTTCATGGAGGCTTAAAGAGTTGATAAGGTGTCTTAGCACCCATACACATTCACACATAGGGATGCACTCAGCATGAGCCTGTTGGCCTACTTGTTGGTGCCACATCAGAAACCACAACAAGTCAACCTGAAGCTCCAGGTGTGTTTGTGTTGGGAGGGAGGGGGCTGTAGCCAAAGACCTTCTAGCTGTGAGGCTACAGTGCTAAACACCTCGCCACTGTGCCAGAAATGTGTTTCTGTATGGCAGCACAATTAGTTATTTTACATTATCCTACATATTAGGCTGAAAAAATCTGTTTGTATATGACTTATGGGAAAATAATGAAAGTAGTATAAGAAACATCTCCTCTTCTTTCAGCACTTTAAGCTGTTGGTGGAGGAGCTTCATGTTAAAGGAGAAGCCAAGATCAAGAACGCCATGAAGGAGTCCTTCAAAATTCTGAATGAGGTGTGTGTCCCTCTTTGCCCTCAGAGGTCAGAGGTCACCTCTCCTGTGAATCAAAAGCATGCATTTTCTTTTTAACATAAAGCTGTACAAGTTTTAGACTTTAATCTTTAAAGAAGTATAAATGGACGTTGAAGCTGTTGCTGTGTATAAACTCGTGTGTGTCTGTTTGAGTGCAGGCGAGAGCAAATGGTCAGGGCAGCATGTGTAACCAGGCCATCATGCTCATCACAGACGGAGCCATGGAGGACTTTGAGTCTGTCTTTGAGGAGTTCAACTGGCCTGACCGCAGGGTGAGGATCACAACCTGAGATCAATAACATTTTGCCAAAATGTATTCTTTGTCAAACAACTCTAGGAATGTAGTAGGAGACATGTCTGTGTAGATTCTCAGTCATCATGGTGTTTAGCTTTTTCAAAACTAGGATAAAGGCTTGTCCTAGAATCGGGATATAAAGTTTATATGCACAGAATGTGAAGGAATTCCACGACTGAAATATAATAAGGGAGATATGCCAAAGCTTTGAGTAAGTGCACACCGATATTGATTCAACCTATGAGACTTTACAGAGTGCAAAACCTCTGTGTGTTACATGCACAAACACAGAAACAGGATACTTTTAATACCCTTTCATAACCAGGATCATGTTCACGTAAACAGAAAAATCATGCAGTCTGAGCTTGGTGTAAACAAGTGTGGTTCTGTGCTTAGGTGCGAGTCTTCACCTACCTGATCGGCAGAGAGATGACTTTTGCTCAAAACACCAAGTGGATCGCCTGCAACAACAAAGGTCAGTCGTCTGCGTGTGTGCACATGTTTTGTGTTTTTTTTGTGCATGGGTTTGCTTCATATGTGCTCATGTGGCTTTTGTTAGGTTATTACACACATATCTCTACACTGGCCGACGTGCAGGAGAATGTCATGGAGTACCTGCATGTGCTCAGCCGGCCAATGGTCATCAACCACGACCATGACATCATCTGGACAGAAGCCTATATGGACACTGTGGTGAGCTGAGCTGGCCAATCAGAGGCCATATACAGATCTGAGCCTTTACTACGTTTCCATTTGGGGGTGAACTGCTCCTTTCAGTCAGCCTGTTGTACAGTTGTCATCGTCTTCATTACCATCTAATCATCACTGTCACTTCATCATCATCTGTCTGTTTCCTTCCTGTCACCTTGGGCTCATTCTCCCATCATCCTCTGGACCTTCCCTTTTATCACTCGGCCAGCTTCCTAACACAAAAGAGGTAAAGATGATAAGAAGTTACAGTTCTAGATAAATAGTTCTTTGTCTGTTGGTATCACACAGAGTTCCAGAAGGTTTTGGTTTGGATTGTAATGACTTTATCCGCAGTGAACATTACTGGGTATTTAAATTCATACGACGCTGCCAGCAGTGCTACACTGCCACCTGGTGTTTAACCTCAGACCTGCACTGCTGACATGTAATCTGTCTGCATTAACACTTTTGAGTGTTTGTGTCTGAGTATGACAAAGACAGAACCTAAATCAAACTTGGACACCAAAACACACTATTTGAAGCACAGGACAGCCAACACATTATATTCCTTATAAAAATACTCTAAGATACAATATATGACAGTATGTCAGTGATACCACAGAGACATTTTTAGGTTTGTTGTCACTTGTTGCCACTGTGGAGATCAATTCTGTCTATACCAGCATTTGAAATCATTATCTTTACAAGTTCTTTCCTTGATCATATATGTTGAATGTGTGCCAGAACTTGCGCACTGCGTGTTAAATGTTCTCCTGTTTCTCAGCTCTTCACGACCAAAGCTCAGAGTCTGCTGCTGATGACCTCAGTGGCCATGCCAGTGTTCAGCAAAAAGAAGGAGACGGTCAGTGTCAGCTCTCATGAATCTTACAATGAAGAACATTATGTCACATTATGAAGTATTTATGCTATTAATTTAATGAGTTATGCTGGTTGGTTGTTCTTTGGTCCAGACTAGCATCACCATCAGCAAAGTAAAGTATTTGTCAATATTTAAGCTCACACAGAATTAACTGTTGGATGCTACATCACAATGGGAACAGGGGCCTGTCCTGTAAATATTTGTACCACTTCATGCTGCCTACTTGTTACTCTTGTGTATGCTAAAGAACTGAATTTGTTCCAAGTTTTGTACATCAAGAGGTGTGAAGCAGTATTAACAGGAGAAAATGCACATGGAACTTCACGGGCAAATGAGAAGCAAACTAAAACGTTGGTGGAAACACACCGAAACTGTTGCTGCATTAAACATCACAGCCTGATGAGAGTTTATATTTCTGTTTCCAATCTCTATATAATAAAGTAATACTGTAATGCTGAGTTTTGTCCGTGTTGCTGTCGTCAGCTGTCCCATGGGATCCTGCTTGGTGTGGTTGGCTCCGACATCCCACTGATGGAAGTGATGAAGCTGGCTCCCAGATACATGGTGGGTTCAGCTGTGTAGCATAGATGATATTTGAAGTGTTTGAATCTACATTTTTTTCTGCTTCATCTTTTGTTTTATTTATTCAGCATATAAAATAACACAACAGATTTCACAATTAAAGTATAAATATTAGCATTCCTTGTTTTGTGGTTCCCTCTCAGCTCGGAGCTCACGGCTACGCCTTCCTCATCACCAACAACGGCTACATCCTGGCTCACCCTGACCTTCGACCTCTGGTGAGTTCTGCTTTTGGACTGCAGGTTTAAATAATTGTCGTGGACAAATTTAGCTCAGGAGCCCTGCGGCAGCAGCTCTGATTTACTAGATCTATATTTAAAGTGTTACAGTGTAGCAAATGTCCTGAAGGGTACATTAAGGAGAAAAGGTATTAAATATGTATAAGGAGAGTTATACAGTATTTCACTACACACACACACACACACACTCAGTGACAGTGTCTCCTTTGTCCTACAGTATAAAGATGGAAAGAAACTGAAGCCGAAACCAAACTACAACAGTGTGGATCTGTCTGAGGTGGAGTGGGAGGATACAGACGAGAAGGTAAACACAGACAGATTGTTTCAGGACACGGGTATTAATGTTTTGTTTTTTTCTGATTTTACTATTTGAATGTGAAGCAGCAAAATGAGGAAAGATGCATGAGCATTGTCTTTGAATAAAACACCTCACATACAGGAATCTCAATACAATTTGACTCCATGTTAACTCTTTCACCCACTGGCTGTATAGTTTATTATAATATGACCTGTTGCCACCATTTTGACAAGGTCACTGACTCAGATAGCTATTCAAAGCACTCTATATAGCTAAAATAGTGAGGCTTCTTTGTACTGGTATGATGGTAGCAGAAGAAGCATTGTTGTGCTTTATTTCTGTTGCATAAAATGTTGTAGTGCTGCAGTAGAAAATTTAAGAACAGGTTCAGTAACGTAACTCTTTACTGACATCTCGCTGTTGGCAAAAATAGCCAAAAGTTTCAATTCAACTTTTTCTTGTACTTTCAGCTGAGGACAGCCATGGTGAAGGGACAGACAGGTGGACTTACCCTGAGCATCAGAGCATCTGTGGATAAAGGGGTGAGGAATCAATCAGCTCACACATCGTTTGGTTTCCATCACAAACTGTTTTTCATCCAGCTGAGGCATTAAATAATCTCTGCTAGAGTTTTACAGAAGCAACATTCCCCTCATTGGGATCCGATTAAACAATGAAACTTCCAAGACTGCAACTGACACACTACAAGCAAATAGCAGACGAAACTAACATGGCAAAAACGAAGTCGTTGCACACAGTTGGAAAAAGAGCAAAAAGGGAAGTAACTGCTCAGAAAATGAAAAAAACAAACAAACAAAAATCAGTCACTATAAAAGATAGAAGTGGAAGAACCTATTTGGAATAGGATAGATCTGTAGTTTAAAGCAAGACCAGTAGGGGGGCCTGTAGTACAGACCAGGATTTACTGTTAGCAAGCAGAGGAAGCGGTCAGGGGAGGCAGGGAGGCTCTCAAGAAAAGTTCAAAATAATAATAATAATAACAATGTTAAGATAAAATAACATTTTACACTTATCTGAACTATAAATTTGTTTCCTATTTGATTCCAGTCACTTTGATGATTTTTATCGCCAAATTACTAAATTTGCACATTTCCTGTTCAAATACTGGGGGCAAATGTTGGGTGCAGCAGCGATGAGCCGATCCCAGCCTCGGACTGCGTTATCCTTCACTGGGTTCATTTATGCAATTAGGCGCGTCCCAGTTGCTTTCTGTTTCCAAGTTGACAGTATGTCGCCAATATAACGTTTATTATACAGCCTGACTTTCCACAGTCGGACTAATATCTTTAATGAATGTGTGTGACATATTTAGTCTTGTTGATCGGACATAAAACCAGCCATGAACCTCATCGCACATCGTTGTTTGTGAGTTAACTTCAAGTTTAACACTGAGCCTTCAGGACTTCAACAGTAGTTTACTTCTTACTGGGTCACCGTAGTAACTTGGATGATGCAACACACCCTGCTCCGGAACAACATGTTCGAGATCACAGATCGGTCCGTATTCAAGCACTGCCTACTGATTAAACAAAAATGTAGGAGGGTCTTTAAGGAGAGCAAGAATTTTTAGAGTTGAAAGTGATTTCAAAGAAGGGTGATTGGATAGCAATACATTTCTAACACAGAGACTGATAAAGCACTTAAGCCTAGTGATTGTTAACCTTGTAAAATTTGCAGAAAGCCTACTTGCTGGTTTGTGTTTATATTTGTTATTTACTTGCTCCCAAGACCATTTAACACCACCAGAGGTGTAAATGATAGAATGAACTAAAACTAAAGCTGCCATAGTGATGACATTAAATGAGATTACTCATTTAATCATCCTTGTTTCACCACTTAATAGTTTTATTACTTGATCATTTATTCTTAGCATAAAGCATAAAGGGACTACATCTGCATTTTTGATACACAATCTTGTGATGCATAATAATAGTCAAACTGAATCTATACGAAGAAACCTTCTTCTAAGCAACGTGTACACATTTGTAATTATAGTCAGATCATGTCATATATGTGGCAGGGACATTATTTCATATATTGCATTATTATTACATTATGTTACATGATATATACAGTTGTGTTGCTTATAATCTGAATTATATTTTAAAACTGTTTGTTTCAGGATTGTAGTTTGTTTCTCTTGTAGATATGCAGCTTTAGATTTGTCCATTTGCAATAGATCATCTGGTGTCAGTACAGCATCAGATTACATCCTGATTGTGTTGATGCTCTCTTATTGTTCATGTATGATTGAAACGCTTAAGACGACACTTGACAATGAATCACAGCATCGCTGGTGATAAGATGAATTCTCTCCTCATCCAACAGAAAAGACCTCTGTACCTCGTCAACAACTATTTCTACACGAACATTGATGAGACACCTTTCAGGTAAATCAGCCCTTTTCATTGCAACTTTATTTACTTTATCAACATTAAAGGTCTTTCTGAGAAGCTCCTGTAGTGATGATAATGACTTTAATATACCCCAAAAGATCCTTCAAGTGTCCCTGGTATGCCATGAACTAGATGATCCTTTTTGACACGTCTGTATGTGCACCAGCCAAGTGCCTTTTCCTTCTTACTGCTGATGTGTTTTGAACTGACTGATGTTATGACACTAAAACCAGCACTGTTCAAAAAAAAAACCAAAACATATTGTGTAGATATTCAGGCTCATTTTACCATCGAGGATTCTTTCTGTGCTCACACTGTCTGTCCATAATATAAGATGAAACCTGAAATTTAAGCAGCTTTTCCTTTTAAGCAGTATAATGTGTTGTGATGGTAGAAATTAACTTTTTGAAGCATTGAACCACGATGAAGCAACTGTGTTGACCAAAGTTCACAGATTCTAAGAGTGTATTACAGCTGAAATGGTGACATCTGCTGGCAAAACCAGTTGTACTGCATTTACATGGATGGATTTAGTCTCACGTTTCCAGTTGAAACAATCTGTGTTACTGTGGCAAAATGAAGCATTTGGATTTTTTCTTTCTTTTTTTGTGCTTTGAAAGGTCAACACTGTGCCAGGCTACTTCAAGTGTAATATCTAAGGCAGGACAGCAAATGTGTTTCTGTCAAAAAGCTCTGTTTATGTAAAACTAAGCTTTATTTTCTAATTTCACAACAGTACAGTAACAAATAGTGTTTATAGTTTGGCCTTTATTTTCAGCATCTTAGGGCAAAGCATTGAAAATGTTGGTTAAAAAGATAATATATGTGTGTTTTTCTGTTTCATGTTGGCCTGATGATCTCAACTAAGGGAGCAAGCATGTTTGTTCACAGTGTATTATGTACAAATGTTCTTAAATGTTAACTTTAGCTGGGCTATATCATCATCACTGGAAAGTTAATCTCCTCAAAAGAAAACTAACAAAAACCCTTGTCCAGAGGTTTCATTGTCTCCTCGTCCGTCTCTCTGCAGCTTCGGCATGGTGTTGACGAAGGGTCCGGGGAGTCTGATATTTATGGGAAATGTATCTGTGGAAGAAGGTATGGTTCTCTATGATTACATACAGCACAGGCCTCACGTGTTGTGTCTGGTACCGTTTTCTTTTAAGAAATACAACTAAGAGGAATGAATCAGTCGGTTAACGATCTGAACCCCAGTATGTGGAATTTGGCTCTAAATGATTAAAACCCAAACCAAAAACAACACACATGTTTGTATCCATGCTTACAAAATACAACTTGGAGGCTGTCAGCCACATTTCATCTGCAACACTACAGCTTACTACAGCTTACTGTAGTGAAATAAAACCAAAAAATGTGTTCATTGTCATTTGAACCAGTGTTTGTACTTTCCTTCGCAGGGCTGCATGATCTCACCTCTCCAGACCTCAGTATCGCTTCTGAATGGTACGTCTGACACATTTGAAATGTGAATTTAAGAGAGCAAATTTAAGTCAGTCAGTTTTTTTGTGCTAAAGACAGAATAATGAGCTAAACTGATCAGAAAATGACAAATATGGTATTACTGGTAAACCCTTTGAACCTGACAAATGCAGCTTATGCCTAAATTTACATCCCTCCTTCTTGGTGGAATTACTGTAGCATTCATTGCCATTAAGAGTAATGCATATTAAAATAAATTGGATGACCAAGACCTAATTGCTTCTCTGTGCGACAGAGAAAAATAACTTATAACTCGTAAAAAATGCAATCAGTTTTAAATCAGTCAAATACTGTGTCATAGTTGTAAAAACAAGATACAGGATGTATGATTGCCCTCCATATGGACCAAGATTACTTTAAAACACCCTGGCACTTGTAGGGTTAGTGTTGGTGGTCTCCAGTCAAACTAGGTCGCAACAGCCTTGAGGAAGTGGAGTTCCTCACTTATTTGGGGAGTAACAAGCAAGGTGGTACAGATGCAGATGTCAAAGCAAGAATAGGCAAGGGGCTTAAATACATCAGAGAGCTGTACAGCGAAGCAAGATTAGCAAGGTATGTTGAGCTTAAAGCCAGAGTCTTCAGTGTCATGAAGGTGGCTCTCTTTTTACCTGCTAGATCTCCATGGTAACAGATGCTGTGGAGCTAACCTGGTCTGGAGCAGGTTATGTTCAGAAAGAGCGTCTCCCTTTAACCAGATCGTTTCCTGACTATTCTCTATGAGCCATGCAGATTCCTAGCTGAGGGAGTGTGTTTTATCTGCAAACACGATGAGTTGTGTGTTACTAATATCACTGAATGAAGCTGTGTAGTTACAGTATGGCAAAATGTAAATATTGCATTGCCATGGGAATCTGACATGTATTTAGTAGCATCACTGAAAGAGTCTCTTCAACGACGCTGGTATTTAGTTGGCGATGCAGAAATCACATAAATATGTTTTTATTATTTGGTTCTGATTTGCTGTCAAGTCTGTTTACACTCTTGCTACTGCAGCTGATAGAACACAGATGAGAAAATGGATTATTCTGCTGGTATTTATTACAGAGAATATTTAATCAATAACAATAATTTTGCTTTGATTTGGCCAAAAATTAAAGTGATATCCTGCATTATGGGACAGTGTCAGACCTAAATGCACTTCATTACAAAACAGGTTTAAATATATCTTAAGTTTTAAATTTAACTTTAACGTTCAGCTGCCAGTTGGAAATAAGTAGCGGCATCGATCAGTAAAATAGATATTTTTTTATTTTATATATTTATTTCTACCAGCATTTCTGTGTTGCACCATTTACAGTAGCAGCACTTTTTACCATCATACATTTTTTATATTCCTCATTGTTCTCCATTGAAACAACGTGTTGACTGAAGCAGCTGCACATGATCGGTTCATTTTGTGCAGAAGAAGTCACGTGACGCGTTAAATGTCCCTTTTTATGTGAACAGAGTTTGAAGCCGCGTTGATAAACAATAACCACCTTCATAATACTCATTATCCCTGATTGCGGCTTTCCTTCTCGTCAAGTCGGCTTACACAAAGACAGTCCAGCTATGTCAAACTTGCTTCGTAGTGTACCCCTCTGGAGCTCCAGAATACCACAACAACAAACTAAATTAAGGGTTTTCTCAAATATAAAATCAGTATTCCCTTAGAGTTCCGAGACTTGGAGAATGACAAAAAAATATGATTAATAAAGTACAGACCTTCATCAACAGCTGTTTAAAGATATTTAAGATACTCTGGTCAGATAGGATCAGCAGTAACGCGGGACAAACATTATCCAGGTGAAGCATCTCAGTGACTTCAAGTGTTGTCTTCGCCTGGACAACTAGAAGGTTCATCGTTTGCTTTGAAAGTTTCAAACAGTTCTTGCCCACATTGCCAGACTTTATGCAACATAAAGGCAGGTTGCTGTGAAGCTGTTTATTCTGGTTCATTAACTGTGTTTTCCTTCAGGACTTATTGCGAGACGGACATCGACCCTGCTCACCGAAAATACACCCAGCTTCAGGCTGCTATCCGTTACCTGCTGGGGAAGGAACCTGACCTTGAATGTAGGTTAATAATAATAAATATCTTTTATCTATACTGATGTCCCTTTTAATCTGATTTGTTCATCAGTATTTCAGAGATTTACTTGGAGATTTTAGCATGGGACAGTACTTTTATTTGACTGACTCTGTCCGTTGCCCAGGTGACGAGGTGTTGCTGCAGCAGACGCTGTTCGACGCCGTGGTAACGGCTCCACTGGAGGCGTACTGGAATGCCCTCATGCTCAATGACAGGTGAGGCAGGAGGCATAAGACTTGTTAGCATTTTATTTCTTACATGTGAAGCATTAAAAGGCCAGTTCAGCCTTAATGATATTTAGTGTCTGGCAGTGTTGGGTACCATTCAGAATTGTCCCAAAACTTGACTAACTAAAACCAAAGTTGTCTGAAAGACTATGTTGTAAAAATGCTGCAAATCAACTTTAACCAGATATTCTGGCAAAATCAAAAACTATCAAAAGCATCTGTAGGTAGAGGAGTTTTTGGACTTTTCTTTAAACCCGTCTGTTTGTGTATGTGTGTGTGTGTGTGTGTGTGTGTGTGTGTGTGTGTGTGTGTGTGTCCAGGGTGGAACCAGGGGTTGAGACAGCCTTCCTTGGTACTCGTGCAGGTCTGATGAGGATCGTGAGATATGCAGGAGTGGAGACCAGAGTAGCAAAGTAAGACTCAAACTATTGATCATTTGCAGTTTGTGCGTCCAGGTTTTCTTGTGATGTGCTTTTCTACTTCACATCCAGGCAGTCAACAACGAGCATTCAGATTGCACCCACGTTTTCTGATGGCTCCACCCCTGTTTATGTTTCCACTAGAAACATTTCAGTGTTTTTTATTGATTTACAGATACTTTATTTATGCCCTAGGGGAAATTCAGGTATCTCAGAGCTCACAGGTAGAGAAAACAAATAACAGAAAAAAAACAACAGCAACCTAGCATTAAAAGTTAAATTCTCTTTGGTATTCTTTGTTTGTTCTCCTGGTTGCTATCTTGCCATCCAACGAGTTCTCCACCCCTTCTCATTCCCACCCTTATCCCAACTGAGTTTTTCTCCTTCCCACTGTAGCCCAGTGCTTACTCAACGGGACTCCAAAAGAACCTTTGAATTCAATTTTATAATGTCCTGACCTTACTATGTGAAGTGCTTTGAGATATCATATGATATGAATTGGTGCTCTATAAATAAAATTTAACTGAACTGAAATTGTTAAATGCATTTTTCTAATATAGTTCACAGTTGTTTTGCATGTTTAAAGCATACTGAATAGTCATTTGCTGGTCGCTAAGAAGCTTTGTAGCTGTGATCTCACAGCACAGATGCTGCCATCAATCTGTTTACTTTTTTTTTTAGGTTATGCAAATAATTATTAAAATAATGAAATGATTTTATCTGCAGAATATTACCTTGGCAATGACAGCTAGATAATATTAACAGTAGTATTTGTGAGCCATATTTCATACTAGTTGTGACATCTAACAGCAGAAACAGAAAAATGTGTAAATTAAACTTGTTATAGTTTGAATTTCATTGAATTAAGGACACAGTGAAAGTGATTACAGATTCTATCATCCTCCCCTTTCTCTCCCAGTAGTACCAAATGAAATAAAGCATTAAAAAAAATAGGTAGATAGATAGATAGATAGATAGATAGATAGATAGATAGATAGATAGATAGATAGATAGATAGATAGATAGATAGATGCATGCATTTCTACACATTTGCAAGTAAATCTCAGGCTTTGGAGCCAGTCCATAAAAAAATAGATCCATCCCGAAAGATAGCAGAGAGGGGAAAAAAAGCAGCCCAAGCCTTGATGCAGCCACTTGCTGTGGCATTGTGGGTTACATGTATTGGGATTCGCCCAGAGCATCCCATAACCAGCAATTGTAACCTGGTGTTTAAAGTACCTGAGATCAAAAATAGCTGGTAAAGAGTTTATAAAAAGGTTGTGTTTCACCGTTTTTTGTGTTTGATGAGAACTTGACACGAGAGTAGATAATTAAAGATACGTAAGTAATTAGTATAAGCAGCTGCTCACTGAACACTTCAGTCACAGCTGTGACAGATCAGTCGTGTGGTGCTTTAACAGCACATCACCGCAGGCTGCCAGTGGTCTCAAAGTAAAATGTCATCTAAGGTAGGATTTCTACTTCACAGGAAGTTCCTGACTGCAACTGATAAAGACAACCTGTTCACCATTGATCACTTCCCTCTGTGGTACCGCCTGGCTGTGGAGAACACTCCTGGAAGCTTCTATTACTATCCTGTCAATGACAAAGGTTTGGGTCTTCAACACTCAACATTTATTTCTAGTTTTTCTATTTTATTTTTTTTAATGTGAGAAGGGAGAAAGTGTTTTATCATTATCATTAAATATCTCCCCAACCAAGTAATCTTCCACTGATTGTGAAGTTTTCTGTCAACAGGAGTGAAGTATATCATTGCAGCTACATCCGTGACGGTGTCATCTGAAGGAAAGACAGCCATGGCAGGAGGTGAGTTTAACTGCTGCAGCTCTAATTCAAATTAATGGTGCAAAGGCGGTAATGTTCATCTGCAGGCTGACTCAGATGTGTCGTGGCAGATGTTGTCATTATGAAGTTGCTTACTGATTTAGGTGTTTATTGTTCCTCACAGCGTTAATGTTGCAGGCAGACTTTTATCTAGTTATTCTAATATAACTCTGAACCACCCTCCCGCTGTATGTCCCACCACTCACCCAGCATTACCATTACTGCAGCTGCATGTCCTCAAGTGAGGAGCAGCTCACACAGTAGATGATTCACTCACCTGTCCACTAAAGTCCTGTTGACTGTCTGGGTTCAGCTTGAGGAGAGAAGCTGAATGTTGGGAAAACACTACAGTTTTCTAACATTATTTCTTTAGTCAATATCTAGAAATAATCCTAAAACTGACTCATTTGTTCTGACAACAGGAACCAGGTCCAACTTGACCTTAATGTTACACACACATCCCCCGTGTTACGTTAGCAGTAACGTTGGCTTACAGTTTTATTCATGTTAGCTGCTGCCTACATCCTGGTAGTTGGTCTCAGATGTTTTGTTGCCACTTCACAATCCTCACTGGGGTCGCAGGGGGGCTGGAGTCTATCCCAGCTGATTGACGGACACCCTGGACAGGTCACCAGTCTATCACAGGGCTACACTTAGAGACAGACAACCAAGCACACTCACATTCACACCTACAGACAATTTAGAATCACCAATTAACCACCGCTCTACCTTGCAGCCCCCCATATTAAAATAATACTTAAAAAAATAAAAGTTAGCCCCTCTTTGATCATGTAAAATAGGTCATCAAATAATATTTTTTGTCATAATTTTCGTTGGCAAAACAAAACATCTTCAAGAAACTGAAGCAAGTCGAGTTGCTACGATTAAACTATGAGAATCGCCATGACCTGGATGACTGAGAATATTCACAGACATCCTAGCAGGAATCATGTTTGATGATGTAAGAGACTGATGAATGTGGTTTCCCTTTCCCTTCCCTTTAAATTGTGTTTGGGATCAAAGGCTGAATCTTTTGTCATGTGAACTGTGTTGTTTTGTTTTGTGGCTGTCAAACTGTGATGTGTTTGAGAAGACAAAAAAAAAAAAATCCATTTTAGATAAATATAGAGTTTATTATCTTCGGCGCCATTAACAGTCCTTGAGTTGAGTTTGGGACAGTGTTTCATGTGCTTATCACAGAAGGTAAATTAAGACAAACATTTTGAAGTTACAGCACATTGAGGCTGTCATCCTTAAACATTTTCAGTCAGTACCTTGTAGTTCCCAATGTTGGGAATATTAGTTGTCCTAACTTTTTTATGTTGATTTTGAGAGTTTGTTTGTGCTGGATTTAGAAGCTGTTGCAGCTCAAAGCCTGTCCTCTAGGGGGCAGTACAGCTCGACTATTGTGTGACTGCAGTTAACCTCAATGATGAAGCTTAAAGCAGATAGCAGCAGGACTCTGAGATGATTTAACGTGCGTTATTCTGAGAGGATTCTACCTAACAGAGGTACAAAGAATTGTTTCACAAAATGGGCAACAAAAAAATAGACACTGGTAATTCAACTAACACCAAGAGAAATGCCACAGATTTACAGACGTTTGTAGTTTTGGAACTTGTGCTTGTTGGGCTGAGATACAGAGACATACAGCTTGAACAAAAAGGTAGTTTCATATTTCTAAAGAAAAAAACAAAACACAGATGAAGGAAGGTCAAGGTGCTGAAGTGCCAAACAGCAGCTTCGGAGTACGTTAGAGGCTGGCTGAGAGATGCAACGCAGGGAATAACAATTCACTGAGGATCCATACATTAAAAGAAGTGCTGCAGCATCCCAGCTTCACTGAATCTAATCCACTCAATTAACTATACAATCAGTCTCCGCCCAGAGAGTTTCAGCACAATGACAGAGCTGCAGGGATTCTCTCTGCAGACGTTGTCTCATCTATGATGAGAGCGGATGAGCAGAAGCAACCAGAACATCCTGGGAGGATCCTACGTTATATAAATGTCAGTGTGTCAGAAGCTGCTGATTCGATAACCATGCACAAAGCTGCAGGCCTCTTTAGGCGGCGTCTCCTGCGGTGAGGTCGGCGATGACATTTGCCCGTCCTCCAGGTCGGTGTCGGCTCCGGACTCGGCCATTAGAGGCTGCCCACGACTCTTCATTTCTCTCTGGTACCGTGCCACCAGTGAGGCGTAGACACAGCCGTAGGTTGCGGCAACCACCATCATGACACACACTGTGCCACAAACCACTCCTGCAACTATTTGTGTGCCGTGTGCCCGGCGGACACTGACAGGCCTGTAGCGCTGGCGAACACATTCGTCGGTGCTGCTGACCCGACCGGGCGGGCAGGGAGGTCGGGTGGCGTAACCTGACGCGCCCTCCTTGGTTGGACTCTGCAGGCAGTAGTTGAACATCTCTGCTGGCACGCTGCGGATGTCCCTGCCCTTTAAATCCCCTGGGAGACTGCACTGCATTGCATCTACCTGCCCATCTATAAAAGAGACGGAGAGGGGAAACAAAGAAGAGAAGGGGGAAGCACATGGAGGGAAAAGATGAAGTGGAAGAGAGCAGGAAGAAAGAAATAAGAGAGAGAGACGGGAGAATTGAAAGAGATGGAGGTCATTATATTCTTAGATATCTTTGCTCAGCATACATCCATCCTGCAGAGCAGAGCTTTAATTGCTTGGATTACACAGATTTTGAGGTACAGACTCTGGATTTGCTCCGGTACAGTCTTAAAGCACTGTAAGCCGACTGCTAAACTATCAACTGCAGAGTATTTGTAGATTTGGAGAGGCTTGCTAATAGCCCTGCTCACCCCTGTAAATCAACCACTCCATCCAGTGCTTGAAGTCTCTCAGCTTGCAGTCGCACTCCCAGGGGTTTCCCATCAGCAGGAGCTGCTGTAGCCCCACCAGGGGTTCAAATGTGACTCTCTCCAGGGCCACCAACCGGTTGCTGGCCAGGGACAGCCAGGTGAGTCTCTGAAGCCCATCCAGCAGTCCCTTAGGCAGCCACAGGAGGCCGTTTGAGGACAGGTCAAGTCCACGCAGCTGCCACAGCCCATTAAAAACCTCCTTGCTTAAGCCAATACTCTCCTGACTTTCACTCAAACGTTGGCCAATTACTGTGCTGCGGTTGAACTCAGAGGTTGGCAGACGTATGCCAAGATAATTAGTAGAGAGATTTAACCAGCGCAGGCTGCTCAGGCCTAAGAAAGCTCCAGGCTGCAGGGTGGAAAAGTGGTTCTGGGAAAGATCCAGGATCTCAAGGCTGCTGAGGTTGGACAGGTCAGTCTTGCCCAGGAGGGAGAGGTTGTTCTGGGGTAGGCGGAGGGCCAGAGAGTCCTGGCCCAGCAGCCCTAGGATTGGTGTCAGAGAGAGGAGGCCAACAGCAGAGCAGTCAGTTGTGTTGCTGTAGCAGGTGCAGACACCAGGACAACCACTGACTGAGCCCATAAGTCCCTGTAGAACCAACATCAAACTGGACAGAGCCGTGCAGACTGAAAGACATGAGAAACAAACAGAACAACTGCATCTGTTTAACTAAAAACTAAATACTATACAGAGATGTCTTATTCACACGTGACCTCATGTATCTCAGTTCTCTAGGTCTATTAAGCTCAAAACGCTTTATTGTTCTCCTCATTTAAGACTTTGAATTCAAGTCTGCTCTCTTCTGTGTGTCTAAATTTGCCTTTCTGTTGATCTAGGCAGATTTTTGTCTTATGTAACTGGACCACTAAGTGATCACCGTCACTATCTCAGCATCTCAGGTTTAAAAATTAGCAAGGTTTAGAACAAAAACAAGCCAATCAAATGTTTTCTGAGGAGTCCATTTTGATTTTTCTGTGTAAAATTTCCAACAAATCTTTCTGCAATCTCAATGAACTTCAAGAGAAAAGTAGTACCAACAACATAGGATATTAAATAAAATACAGGAAAGGAAGTAGAGACTCACTCAGACTGTCCAGATGACTTTGTCCATGCTGGTCTAGGTCCTTCATGTCTGCAACATGAACTCTACTGCAGCTTTAGACTATCATTCGGCTGTTGTTGCTTTCTGTCGGGTCACTCCAGCATCCAGCTTTGGAGATCGCCCTGAAACAGAGAAAAAGGAAGAGGAAAGTTATTAGTAAAAGTGAGTTATAGCTGCTGGTTCTAGAGGTCTTTTTCCTAAATGTTTATTGATATTGGGATTTTTGTTTTAGCAGGCACTGGATGTTTTGTCAGTTGATTGCATTTTGTATTTTTTTCGTCCAAACATTACAGTAATCATCATGAAAAAGACTTTAGCCTGAGAGATACTAGATATTTGAGGATGTAAAAACAGATCTATTGCTGTATTTTTAACATAAAGCACATTAGACACATATTTTAAGTGTTCTAGTTATTTGGCCATTTTAACTGAAGCAATCAAACATTTTATTCAGAGTTATTCCTTTTGACAATTGAAAAGCTCCTCCCACTTAAATATTGCAGAGTGATCGTCATAATCCTTTGTGATCTTTGTTCAGATTTATTTTTGCTCTCTTCCAGCTCCGCATGCCGTTAGTTTCATTGATCCTGTTGGTGCTGTAGCAAATGAAAGATTTACACATTCACTCTGCATGCTTCCCATTTTGAGCTTAGGTATTCACTCTGATCATTTTCTCTTCACAAGCCGGTTTCTCAAACCTTCAAGCCACCATAAAGAGTACAACTCGATATATAAGATTAAGTGAAGTATGTCAGTGAAAGACCATCAACAGCATTACAGGCTGGACTTGTGCTGTAACTCACAGCTTTTAAACTTGACCTCAATCCTTTTCATTCTTTGCCTTTCATGCTCAGAAAAAGAAAAAAAAAACATATTAGACTTGATGATTTGGAATAATCCTCTGTGCTTTCATCCCGCACCACCAGCATCAAAAATAAGTCAAAGCCAACTTTTGTCTTCTTAATGCCCACTCACAGTTCCTGTACGCTTCAGATGCACTACATTACCAACATTGTTTCACACTTTTTTCGAAGCATTTGTGCATTTTTAATTTACTCATTTTTGTTCTTTTGAGATCTCAGATATGCAGATTTGCTGAGGGTAGTGTGCAGGAGAGATAAAGCTGCAGAGAAAAGGAAATGTGCCGTCACTTCATCAGCTGTCTTTAAAGAGCAAGAGAAATGCTGCCTCAAGGTCTTTCTTTTGTTGCAGGTCTTTCTTTTGTTAAGATGGTACAAAGATGCTAGTCACTCCTCTGCGGACTGCGTGAGGCAGCAAAGTTCCTTCAGGCCACTACTGACATTACAAAACAGTGGAAATTACACCACAGGTTGAAGAGGGAGATGAGGAGAGAGGAAAGTGTGGCGGTCAAAGAATATGTGACATCACTTTGCTTCATCAAGACGTCAGAAAGTGCAAAGTCAGAGAGTTAGTCTTGATATAATATTGACAAGCAAATCATTTATATATGAGGAGCAAATAATGTGCAATAAGTTCTGGGTGTCTGCAGGTCAAGCAGAGGCAGAATGGAGGTGATATACTACCACAAAAGCAGTTGTCGAGTTTGTCAAATTCAAGCTTGAACATACATGGATATCGCATTTCAGACATTCACGTGACTGTTTCTCGGATTGGTTTTGCAGGAAACTTGTTTTAAATCTCCTGACATGCAGATTTGTTCAGTTGTTGACTTTCTCATTGCTTTAGTGATTTGTATGTCACAGAACAGACACAAGATTTCCTAACGTGAAGTTGTCATTGCACTGGTTGAATTCTAGCCTTTGGAGCTTTTTAATACGTATACGAGAGAACTTCAAAAAAAATCTCTGCCTCCCCCCAAAAAACAATCAGAGGAGAAAGATTGTTCTTGAATTGTTTTTCAACATAGCATCCTTTAACTTTTATGCACCAATGTTCAAGCTTTGCTGTTCCTTTCATGGAAGAAGGTTTCATCTTGAGCATCTAAATACTCCTCAACAGCATGGATGACTAAATCATCAATCTGAAAATGGCAACCCTGCAAATGGGATTTTAGTTTTGGTAACAAAAGTCAGATGGTGGAGGTGTCTGAACTTGGCCAGACTTTCACGATGCAGTTGTCAGATTAGAAAAAATCCGTACTGTTTGAGTCAGTTTGAAATTGTCATGTTGGGCATGACACACCCCCTTTACAGACCTTAGCATTAGAAGATGTTTTGTGCTTTCAGGTCCAGTATGGGTGCAGGATTATGCTAATATCCTCTGAAGGAAAAAGTGAAAATTCTACATCAGATAAGACGCTGAGTGACAGCTGTCAGTCACATTAGATCTACTACAGCAGCCTATAAGAGGATAAGTTAGTTCATCATCAGATCTCAGAATATCCTATAGAGAAGTGACCTGTGACCTCTCCCGCTGCCCGACGGTTATAACAACAGATGGAGACTCGATCGCATTACATGCAAACCAGAGGGAGGATTTATAAAAAAATTAAAAAGCCATGGTCTTGCCCAGCATAAATCCTGCAGATGGAGCTGAGAAATAAAACACAAAGACCAAATCAGGGCCTTCATCTAGACACTTCCTTGGGGATTAATGCACAACGTTGTGATTCATCAATATTTTCAATACACTCCAATAGATGTACAGCTGAGGATCAAAAGCAAATGTGAGGGTGGTATGTCATCTCCTGTTTGTCAAGAGCTGAAGTTGCTCCTGACTCTGTTTCATTCTTTTTTTTACCATTTCTCTTCATGTTCGTTCATCTCTTGGATCGTGCCTTACTCTGCCCTACTTGGCATCTCTTTCTTGGGACTTGGGCCTTAAAGACATTACTGAGAGTGGGCTGCTTAGTGAAGATCGAGGCCATGAGGTCCACCGAAACTCAGACTTCACCCAGCTGATTTAGCTCTAAAATAATACCCACCAGATAGCTCAAATCTGACCAAATACTTGCAAAACTGACATTGCACAGGATCTGCCTCATAAATGGATGAGGGATGCTTGTTGCATATCATACCCCAAGTATTCTGCCATTGTTTCTTAATAAATAAAAGTAAAATCTACAATGATCTAAATCAGGGGTGCCCAATCCTGGTCCTCGAGGGCCCCTATCCAGCATGTTTTAGATGTTTCCCTCTTCCAACACACCTGATTCACATGATCAGGATCGTTATCAGGCTTCTGCAGAGCTTGATGATGAGCTGATCATTTTAATCAGGTGTGTTGGAAGAGGGAAACATCTAACACATGCTGGATAGGGGCTCTCGAGGACCAGGATTGGACACCCCTGATCTAAATTATTAGAAGTTTTATACCTTGTCATCATGTCATGTCTAGCTAAATAAGGTGTCAGCGTGTGTTTAACTCTGCTTTTACGCAGAGTCGTAGGTGAGCTGGTGTGCTCGTGCTGCTGTGAGTAGGAATTGCTGAGTGGAAAGAGAGGTACGGACTTCACTGATGTGCACATTCTAAAGCAGGGTTGTCGAAATCCGGTCCTCGAGGGCCGTAATCCTGCATGTTTTAGATGTTTCCCTCTTCCAACACACCTGATTCAAATGATCAGGATCGTTATCAGGCTTCTGCAGAGCTTGAAACATCGAAAACATGCAGGATTGCGGCCCTCGAGGACCGCAGTTCGACACCCCTGTTCTAAAGGAAGCAACAGTGTAGAGTTACATCAAAGCCTATTTAACACAGGCAGGAAATATTTTTATTGGAAAAAACAAACAACAACTTGTGAAGATGTAACTTTGATATACATGTTTTATGAATTTATTTAAATTTAATATAAAGGTTGGAGTGGGACTTAAAATCAGGGAGTGATAAATTAATCAAAACTTAAAGTAAATGTGTCGACAATAAAATGTCATCCTGCTCTATGTGTCACCTGTGATGGAAAGTGCACAGTGCATGTTCACTTCATGGAGTCTGGTGGAGAATTATTATTGTGATTTATTTATTTTTTGTTAGGAGTTTAGTACCAGCCTGCCAGTTTTTGATACGCATTGCCAGAGACATATTTGTTGGTAACCATAAACTATTGAAGGTAAATATCCAGCCTTACTAATAGTGCATCACGAAAACAACTTTAAAATCATGGCACTCTTGTGGTTTGGGCTTATTGCTTTGTGCTTGTTTTTACTGTCATCATGGATTTTCTGTCATTTCACGTTCAAATGTTGGTTTCCTACTCCGCTGTTCACCTAATTGCACATTGCAGCAAGGATCCTCCTGCAATAATGCTAACGCAATTATAGAAAGCGATAAGGAGAAGTCAGAAGTTTCTTCATTATTTGACTTTAATGGAAGTTTTGGGAGCGAACAGATGTTAAAACAGCTCATCAAATGCACCATCAGCCAGATTAGACGCTGCCCACAGAGGAGCGACAGGTCAGAGATTAAAACTGTGGCTTCAATCCGTGAGCAGGACAGACGTCTGTTCAGGAGTCCAGATGGTGCCAGGACAACGGGTCCTATGCACTTATTTGTGTACAACCTCACTCTGCTGTTATACAAATTAAATGAGTTGTTATTTAATTGAGCCAGAATAGCCAATGACAGGTCTGATCAGTGGATGCAAGACAACAGCGACACGCCAGACTCCAAAACAGTCACCATTTGAATGAGACTTTTTTCCTCCACTGCATATGATCATTAGTAGTTCTTCTTGTTCTTATGTCCTACTTAGCCCATAAACTTTACATTGAAATGCACATAAACATGGACTAAAAAATCTAATGCAAGACACCTGGTTTGCAGGTTCTTGGTGTTTTACAGATGTCTCTTCTGTAATGGTGGTTTAGGGGGAAAATGCTTGGACCACAAGGGATTTGGCTTATTTTTTTAACTAGTAGAGTGCACTGAAACTAATAGCAATCAGTGGTCTGGTCCTCATATATCAGATTCCGTTCAAATAAGTTTGGTGTTGTGCTTCTTGATGACTTTTTCCTTGGGTGGAAAAACAAAACATACCAATCAGTGTTTTGTGAAAGCAATAATAAACCTGCCATCCTCCTGTGACAAAGGCAGTCGTACAGAATTTCCCAA